TGGTTTATGGGGAGAGCCAAGTAATAATACAGAAAGGAAATACCCATAACCTTAAAGGGGGAGGGACAGATGAGATTGATGGAGAGTGCTGTCGGGAGAAATGGCAGCCCAGTAAGGGAGTCTCTGGAGTGAGGGCTTATGGCATGGGTGGGGAGGAGGACTCTTAGCTGGGCTTGGCTTTTTTTTTTTTCTCAAAGGGTGAAAGGCAGGTTCAGAGGTGGTGGTGAATGGTTTAGCCTTTTGGATTGGGTCTGCAAAGGGAAGCCGAATTCCTGATAAAGCCCTTGGGCTAGATTTCCCTCGAGTGCAATTGGGAAGTAAACGTGTTTGGTCTGCTTGGTCTCAGGGGGATTGTGGCATTAAGGGTCAGCAGCCTCCCTTCTCAGTCTGGGAGAGAACTGGTCCTCAGGACCAATACATTTCAGGCTTCCATGCATTTCCAGGCAGTAAGGAGTGTTGGGAGAATCATTCTAGCCCAGCCTTGGAAACCACACAGAATTCATTTCACCTCCTATGTGATCCCTGCACAAAGCCACTCTGAGCCTGCATACCAGGATGTATTTTGCCTTCCTAGCAAAGCCCATCTGGTCTGGAGTGGTCCCCTCCCCTGCTTACTAGAGGTAATGAAGGACTATCCCACCAGGGGAATGCAACACAGAGGCGAGCGGCACTGAAGGCAGGGAATTCTCACATCTTCCTTCAGTTCCCCCTCTCCTCCCCTCCCTCTTCTCTTTGGATCTGGCAGTTGATCTAAAGACCCGGGGTCGTTATCGTAATGCCACCATTAGTTGAAACAAAATCATTCCTTGTAACTGGGATATAGTTACTATAAACGACATATGTTATTGGCCATTCTAGTTCTAATAATTGTAATTATGCTAGTATACTGGCCATTAATATAATAACAACAATGATCGACCGGCTCTCTGTTCCAGACCAATAACTTCACCTGAATGCACTCTTTGTTCGGAACAAAAAAAAAGAAAAAGGAAAGGGTAATTCAACAATCTCTGGTGGGAGAGAAGCCCACAAAAGCCAGCACTGAAACTGGACACTGCCCAGAGGATCCCCTTCCTGCGGTACAAGATGGTGCTGGGGGGATACAAGCCACCTGGCAGCCTACAAAAGGACCGTGTCCGCCTTCTCACACTCCAAGATTACAAGGGAATGAAAGCTATGGACTTGGGGAAGAATCCCTGGGCCTGGGTCTGCACCTGGAGGCCCAGGGCAGCTGCAGACCCAAGGCTGGGTGAGAGGCATCCATGCAGTAAGAGAGGTCTAGGTCTGAACTGAACGCTCGCCCATTCTGATTTAGGCATGGGTTCTCTTCCCTAGTCTCCAGAGTATTCCCACAATTACAGAACGAAAGACCCATCTTTCCCAGAGTGGGTGTTACTGCCCTGGCCCCTCAGAGGTACTGGAATCATTCAAGGAGATCTTAGTAGGCACCAGTGCAGTTGGCAGGGGGCACTTTCTGTTTGCTGTTTACTAATGAATGGCACTGTTTCAGGCCAAATCAATAGTACAGTGGATAGGGCATTTGCCCTGTATGAGGCCAATCCAGTGTTAAACCCTGGCATCCCATATAGGTCCTCTGAACACCACCAGGAGTTATTCCTGAATGCAGAGACAACTCCTGAGCATTGCTGGGAGTTACCCAAACCCCACTCTCACCATCTCACCCACCCCCCAACAAGAAGGTAGAGCTTCAGGGGATGACACAGAATAATTCTTTTTTTTTCTGAAAAGGAGTCAGAAGGTCAAATGGTTCCTTCAGAAGGAACCTATGATGTAGATCAAGGACCCCATTTGACACATCTGTGGAAACAGATATCCAGCTCCCTCTGACACCTGTAAATCTTATAATTCCTCAAGTACGGGATATTCCCAGGAACAGGGCCATGAGGACAGAAGGAGTATGCAGCAAGGCAACTGAGGGGCATGTCAACAACTAACCCTGCCCCAACTACAAAGATGGAATACCTATGGTTCCTCCAAAACAATTATTTTGTGCTTTTTGATTCATTATCCTTGATTCCTACTGCTCTCTTTCCAAAAATGTTACACACACACACACACACACACACACACACACACACACACTTGCATGTGCAGAAGAATAAAAGCATTAAAAATGTCACTCTATTTCCATTAACAGTCAAGAACGTTTCATAAAAGGAGGACAAAGACCTCTGTCCACAGAACCCCAAATGGCTGGAGTCAGGTCACAGTCTACAGATAGTGATTCACTTCTTTTCCCTCTGATAAAATGCCCAGGGTGATGATGCTTCAGTGATGATTATGGGGTGGTCAACTCTGGCTTAATGACAGATTCATAACAGCCCAAGGATTGAGGCGCGCAACCTCCAGACTTGACTGGAAATGCAATTCTAGACTTTCCTTCTTCTCAATGAAACAAACATCCAAGGAAATAGATGAACCTTCATTGGTTCCATTCAACCATGGAAATGTCTGTCACTGCAATGGCTCGCAGAGCTACCCATAAAATGAGAGTGAAAGGGAAACACTGAAGGCGGGCATTGGCAGGGCAGAACAACGCGAGGTTCCTTCACGGACCAAGTCATCCCAGTGGCATTTGTGTGTATTGGGTAGCCATGGTATGGTGGACTTATATTGCAATCTGGGCACTTGAATGCCACTATTTGTCTAAAGGAATCCCCGAATTGCAGTGGGCAGCGTGGTGGCCTCTTGTCTCATTATCTTCTGTTTCTTCTCAACTTTTACTCAGCAACAAATGCAAGCTCCTTTTGTAGAGTTAAAAGAAAGAAACTTGGGATCAGAGGAGCAAACAAGAAAAAGAAAGCAGAAATCTGAAAACCTCCTTCAAGTTAATTAAATGATTAGGGCCCTTTAAAAACTACAGACAGTTCCATTGTTTCTGCTTTCATTGGATTCTTGGGCCTCTCTGATAGTGAAATGGGGGCCAGATTCACCAGTCTGGAGAGCTTAAGACAGCCCAGGAAATGCTTTGTCTCAATTCCCCTGGAGTGTTTTGCAGATTTCTAAGCAAAATATGAAGAGGTTGCTTCAGGCCTGAATGCTGTGCTATAAAGCCTACGATGTGGGGAGCTGACAGCCTTTCCTCAGCTCTCTATGCAAACAGGGTGTCCCTGATCTGTCAGGCTTGTCCTATATAGGTGCATTTTGTCTTAGACAGCTGAGAATTTACTAGGAATGTTTCATCAAATGTAAAATCCAACCTTGACTCCTATCTGAAGCTGGGATGTCAACTTTCTTCTCCTTCCCTAGAAAGGGGTCCCCAGAGTGGGGTCTCTTCTGGTTATGAATCTGGAACAGCTACTTCCATCTACAGAGAGACCCTGATGGTATAGGGAGAGAGTCTCAGGCTGGTAGACTCCCCCCACCCCCAACTCCTTCCTGTGGGATTCTGAAATGTGTCTGCCCTTCACAGCACTCAGTCTCCCTCCAACCTGCAGCCCAGTGGATGTGACACAGAATCAGTATGTGAAGAGGACCAGTGATCTAGAGGAAGCAGGAACTGTGCTTTCTTGTTCTGGTTTGCTCCAGCAGCTCCTCATCAGCATCTTCTTGCTGGGTGCCAACCTCACCCCCATTAGCCTTACCTCTAAACGAGTGTCCTGCCCATCTCTGCTGAGCCACCAGAGCCTGCCAAAAGGGGTTGGGGCTTCCCCATTACCAGGAAGTCTAGTCATGACCCCCTAGATCAGGAAGCGCAATATAGTGTGTGTGGTTGGTGTATCTATTTAGAGATAGAGATAGAGATGCAGAGAGAGAGAGAGAGAGAGAGAGAGAGAGAGAGAGAGAGAGGTATAGATATATACAGAGATGTAGAGTTAGAGCTATAGGTAAAGACAGAAAGGATAGGAATAAAGATGAGCAATAGGGCTAGAGCCAGAGTGAGAAAATGTTCTTCCATTCAAGTGCCAACCAGCCCAATCCAGCTTAGCTTCTATGATGAGAGGAGACCAGGTATATTTGCGTAGTATGACTGTAGATTATTTTTATATTCTAAATAGCAGCATTCCAAAGCAATAATGAATACCCAAAGACAATGGAAACAAAGGACATGAGAACTGGTATTTAATAGAAAAGAAGACATTTGAGGGGGGCTAGGGGGATAGGACAGGGAGGGGGAAATGATAACAGCGGGTTCAACTCAAAAGAGGCGTTGGTGCTGAAAGGTGGTAGAGTGTTATTTATGAAATCCTATCAGCAACTGTACTGTAAACCACAGTGCAAAAACTAAAACACAAAAACAAATTGCTCTCATGGAAACAGGCAACGGGAGTCGGGGGGAGGGGGGGACAATGGTCGGAGGAAGGGGACATTGGTAAAGGGATCCGTGTTGAAGCAGGGTATGCCTGAAACCCAATCACAAACCATTTTGTAATTTCATGATGCCAATAAAATATTTGAAAATAAGAAGCAGAATTCCAAAGCAACCAGTCTATTCAAAACCACAGGTCCAGTGAAAGTTGTCATCACACAAGCTCAAACAACACTCAGACTGAACAGGAAGACTTTTACCAGAGTTTTCAAACACTTTACCTTTGAAGATCTTGCCCATATACCTCCTTTCTAAGGACAGCAAGCCCATAAGCCATAATGTATTTCTATGATGGTGAGAAATAGTTTTCAGGGGCTAAGAATAAAAAGGCAGAAGGAACAGAAATGTTTTGGCCTAGCCCAACCTGCCAACCCAGCTGTTTCCACAACATTTCAGTTGGTCCCACAGGGAAATCAGCAGGGCAGGTGGTTGGGAGATGCTTGGGGCTCTATCCAGGTGGCTGGTGAGGCCATGTCTGCAGGTACTAGAGAACCTCCACATGGCTGGTAAGTCCAATGTGGCTTCCTTAATCCATGCTCCCTTTAATACAACCATTGTCTCTGCTCTGTCCTGTACACAGTACCCCGAGGACCATTGTTGGTACACATTCTTGCCAAGTCCTGACATTTTCTTATAGACAGCATTCAGCACTGTGGCTGCTGGGACCTACCTCAGGGAGCTTCACTCGGCCTTCCTGGAAGGAGCAAGTCTTGGGGTCATGGGTGCAGACGTGTCGGTATTTACACCAGTGGCAGCGGTATGGGCTCTCCACGCAAGACAGGCACCTGGTTACAGATTAGAAAATTGTGAGTCACAGAACCCAGGTGAATTCAAACCAATGGGCTAAGACTAGCAAACAGGTACTCCTGGGAGGAAAAACCACCTTCAATCACACAGGAGAGGAAATCTTGAACAAATCCATCCTTTCTCTCTCCAACTCTGGTGAAAATCAAGTCTTTGGCCTCCCACTCCTTATTTTCAGGTGTTTGGCAGCACTGGTGCCTCAGGTCCGAATCAACCATCCTCTACTTTCCCAGGATGTGTGCCTCTTTGAAATCACAAATGGGAGGGTCCAGAGTAGAGGTGCTCACCCAGAGAGATTCTATTAGAGTTAGGGCAAACAATGACATTGTGAATGCTGACAGCCAATACTCTGGAATCAACTGGAGTTTTCATTCCAGTTGATTCCAGAGTATTGGCTGTCAGCATTCACACATGGTCCTAACCACACAGAAAGTAGTCTTATAGCTTCTCTTTCAGTGTGACAAGCTCACGGGTAACCTTTCCCCTACACTTCACCCCTAAGACACACAGGAAACTTTATAAGCAGTGCTTTGGGTTAAAAGTCCAATATGCTTCTCTTTTGTCCCAAAAAATAAAACCCAATTTGATTGACAGGTGAACTAAATCCCTGCTGGTATCCAGGTCTGAAGTACTCATGTGAATTTGGAGATTTGTCCATGAACAGATCATGTCCTACCCTTCTTCTGAAATAGCGTTCTCCTTCCAGAAACTCAATCTTGAATCATTTTGAAATTCCATGGTGACTAAATAAAAAATTTGAAAATTTTAAAAAAATTTAAGCACCACCATTCCAAGGGCTGGAGCGATAGCATAGCGGTAGGGCATTTGCCTTGCACGCAGCCAACATGGCTGACCCGAGTTGGATTCCTCCGACCCTTTCGGAGAGCCCAGCAAGCTACCAAGAGTATCTTGCCTGCATGACAGAGCCTGGCAAGCTACCGTCATGTATTCGATATGCTAAACACAGTAACAACAAAGTCTCCAATGGAGACATTACTGGGCCCGCTTGAGCAAATCAATGAACCACCATTCCAAAGCAGTCTATTGAGAACCACAGGATCCTCTCTTCACCTCACAGTCCCTTTCTGCCTATGGTAGTGCTGGCTTCCCACCTCTGCAGGCAAGAGGCCGTGCAGATGTGGGGGGCAGAATTAGATTAGGTAGATTTTCATCAGAGAAGATGCATGGTTAGGGGTCTGGCCCACCCCATCTGTTCTCACTCTGTTCCCTTTCTTTTCTCTTTCCATTAACCACACCAGTACCCGCTGGATGCAGGGGTGGGGTGGGGGGACTGTCTCCACTGGGAGAAGGCAACTTCCTGCTAGGGCCTCCAGATGGTGGCTCCTTAGAACAGGACGCCAGTGGGACAGGGTCATTCTTCTCTCTCTGGATGAACCTGGACCCCAGAAACAGGAATCCGTTTATATCTGGGGAGTGGGAAGGGGGAGATACTTACGAATTGTGGACACTGCAGTTGTAGAAGACAAAACTGGTGCTAGCAAAGGTCATGCCCGTCTCCTTAGATTTGAGCTGCAGCTGGACGACATGGTGGTCCCCTGCAGGGCAGAGCCAGTCATGAGGTCAGGGGGGAAGGCCAAGGTCCCAGGGAGGGGTCCCCCAGAGCATTCTGCACCCAGGAAAAGGGAGTCTGCTCCCAGCTTTGGGCTCCATATGGGCCCATACAAGCCTGGAGTTGCTGCAGAGGCAGCTCCCCTGGCCCCTAGAACTCACTGCTCCCCTTCTGCCACGGGCACATACCCAGAGAGAGACTCAGGGTACATTAGAACCTGCATTCACACACACACACACACACACACACACACACACACACACACACACACACACTTAGTCTGACAGTACGGCGAGATGGAGGTGAAAAGTGTGGGCCCTCAGCAAGGCAATCACTCATTGAACTTTGCCTGGAAGTGGACCATCCCCCATCTCAGCTGACAGTGGCCTTGTTCCAGTGTCCCTCTAGCTACTGGACTCAGAGCCCACAGGGATGGGAGTCCCCAGAATCCTCAGCTGGTGCCTGGGTGGAGAGGGGAGGGGAGATGGAGCCCATATTCAATTTACAGTCCTGACCCCAAGACCCCACTTTCAGCCTATTGTAGGCTTTCCTGAGAGTGAGATTAATCAATCAGCCTCGAGCAAACATGACAAGCATGTCCCAGGCCAGGCTGCTCTCTGTCCACCCACTTTCCCAGCCACTGACCATAGAGGGGCAGCTCTGGGAAGCTGGGGTCCAAAGGGGTGAGTAGGGTGTCTGGGAAGGAATCAGGTAAGCCCAGCACCCTTTCCCTGGCTCCTCATCACCACTCCCCTCCCTGGTGCTCAGCCCTCTCTCACCCCAGCAGCAAGAGAACTTAAACTTGACCCTCACTCCCTGAGACTTTCTGGCCTTGGCCCCTGCTTGCCCTCTCTGCAGCTGTCCCTCCCCTCGGATGGTCCATGGGTGTTGGAGGAACTCAGATAGCCTTGTCCCTGCAACATACTCGTTCACCCACCCCTTCATCCATCCTCCCCAGTCTGCAGGCTCCGGCCACCCCCAGTCTGTACTGAGCTCTTGGTCTTTGGGCTGGGGGGTAGGCCATGCTGCCACAGCTTTGCCTTCGGGGACTACTCACCATTCTCCGTGATGATCCGGGGCACCTCCTTGGCTGCCGGGGAGTAGCACTGGATCTGATTGCCCACCACCAGCCCATCCATCTCTGACAGGTCCTCAAAGGTGCAGTTGACGCCCGCTGACAGCTCAGGGACATTGTACGTCTCCAGGACCAGCTGTGAATTTCACAGTCCAGGGATTGGGGGATAGGGGTGGAGGGGTGCAAAAAAAATAGACCAGAGAGGAAGAAGAGAGAGAGAGAGAGAGAGAGAGAGAGAGGGAGGGAGGGAGGGAATACATGAGGTGACAGCAACACAGAAAAGAAGAGATGTAGGATTAAAAGAGAAGGGTTATAAGGATTATAAGAGAAAGGAGGGGGGCGGCGAACCCCAAGAAACTTTATTAGAGCTGAAATGGTCCCTGCCTCAGGAAACAGGACTGAGCTGTGGATGATGACATTCTTCCTAAGTCTGGAAAAACATTCCCTCCCCTAAAGCACCTGGGGCCAGAACCTGCAACCCCCACCCCCTGTTGCCCTGCCTCTCTCCCTACTCAGAGACAAAGACAAGGGCCCCAGTGCCCCACTCTTTTTTGCCCTTTCCATCCACTTTGGTAGCATGTTTTCCCTGTCTTTCTGCCCAGGAAGCAGAGAGCTCCTTCCCAACTCTCCTATGCATCCTGATCTCCCTCTCCCGCCCCCAGGGGCATTCCAGATGGGATGGGACTTGGGGGGTGAGGTGGGAAGGAGGGGATGACGTATGTGTGGGGGTGTCTTTGTCCCAGTGGCCTTACCAGGACATTGTACTGCGACACGGAGATGTTGCTGGGGTGTACCGTCAGCCTCACGCACTGCTTCATCTCAGAGGCAAACCTGCGCGGCTCCCTGGACCGCTCACAGCGCTCCTTCCGGGTGCACCTGGGGAGAGCAGAGACTCGGGACTCAGGAGAAGCCCCCAGGTCCAGCTAGGGGCCCACATACCTTGGGCCTCTCCAGCCACCCCCAGGACGTGTCCGACTGCCTTTCCATCTTCCACTCCATCTGTTGCTTCTCCTTCAAGTCCCTCAATCTTTAATTTACAGACAAATGTAGACACTCAAGCGTCATCGTCCTCAAGTCCATTCACCTCCTCCTCACTCCTATCAGATGGCGTCAAGTCTCATCCACTCTACCTCCTGCCTCACTGACCTTGCCTCGGGGCTGCCTCCTCCTCCTCCTGCAAACAGTCTTGTTTCTGCCACTTTAGACTCTCTCTCTCCCATTTGCATGCCGGGTCTTCTGTCTGGACTGTCTTCCTCAGTGCAGCTTCTACTCATCCGTCCACACTCAACTTTCCTGCCACAGTGTCTCTCTCTGTCCTCCCAACCCGCCTCAGCTCACTCCCACCCTGGGCAAAGTCAGGAGCACCGGGGAGTTCCTGAGAGTTCTGGAGAGTCTTCCAAGCCATGAAATCATTGGGCCAAGTGCAGCCCTCTCCCAAGAGTGAGCTATTTAAAAGCAGAAACCACCCTGACTTTGGTGGGCGTCCCCTGCACTGCTCCTGTCCCACAGTCAGGAGATAAAGGCAAGGGGAGGATCAAAGTGGCAGGATTGCTTCAGAGTCACGCTGCTCAGAGAGGCATCTCTGAGACTGCAGCAGCGGCATGGTGTCTGCCAATGATGTCTGGTGCCTGGGGGCTGCTCACAGGAGACTGTGTCCCGGGTGGTGCCCAGCTTGGGTGACCTGGGACCTTACACTCTTCACTGGTGGAGGCTTTGGGGTGACACAAGCAGCAACCATGCCCTTTGCCCAAATGTGGGCCTTACTCGTGAAAGAAAGTGCTGTGTTCTTAGCTGGGGCTAGGCCAGCCAGAGGCTGTGTGAAATCATCACAGGGAGGCAGTGGGATGGTTTCCTGCTTGGGAAACTGGATTCTGATTCTGTTGTGAGGTGAGGAAAATTAGGATCCTCAGCAGAAACGTTCTATAATAAGATGGGACCCCAAGAGGGAACAACTCCAGTGCTGCTGATCTCTCTGGCTTCAAGAGAAGAGACCGTAAGGGGAGAAGGATGTTCAGGAAGAAGCCACTGAGCAAGAAATTTGGTAGGAAAAAGCCATCAGGAGCCGGAGACTCACCATGGGAAGGGGCAAGGAAGCATCAAAGAAAGGGCAGATGGGTGAGATATGGGGTCAAAGGGGAGCTGAAAGAGGAGCCTGGACACCGGAAGCTAATCTTGGGGTGATGAACAGACATACAGGAGAGCCAGATGGGGGGTCTCTCCTTTTAGTTCCAGGGAAGGAAAACACTTTTAGGTTTTGGGTGTTAAGAATAGCCCAACTCGGGATGGGAGATGTGTACTGAAAGTAGACTATGGAGCAAACATGATGGCCACTTACTACCTGTATTGCAAACCATAACACCCGAAAGGAGAGAGAAAGTGAAAGGGAATAATGTGTCTGCCACAGAGGTGGGGAGGGCAGAGAGGGATGGAAGTGGTGGGAGAGATACTGGGAACATTGGTGGTAGAGAATGGGCACTGGCGGAAGGATGGGTACTCAATCATTATATGAATGAAACGTAATCACGAAAGTTTGTAAGTCTGTAGCTGTATCTCTCAGGGTGATTCATTTATATGTGTGTGTGTGTGTGTGTGTGTGTGTGTGTGTGTGTGTGTAAAAAGAACAGCCCAACAGAGGAGAGTTGCCTGAGGAGAACTTAGCAAATAGAAGACATACCCTGCCAGGCCATGGACGAAAGGAAGAAAGGGGAGATATAGGAGAAATCAAGACGACCTGGCAGTGGAGGGGTCAGAGGAAAGTGAAAACCCATTCTGAAGAAGAGACGACCAAGGCGGCCATTACCGAGCATCTCACAGCCACCATCATGGCTGGTGCCACCAAGTATCTCAACTATGCTGTGAAGGATGTAAACCCAACACCTCTCATTATCTCTTCAAAAAAAGTGGGGAAGGAACCTGCCTGTGGTCATCAGCTTGTCAAGAGAGAGCAAGAAAGTGAGCATGGATAAGCTGCCTATCTCCACGTCTCTCCACCTTCTGGAAGCTTCTAGCCTGGCAGTGGGGGTGGGGGGAACGGGGTGGGGGTGGTGAGGGCCAGATGCCCTCTGCTGCAGACTCAGTTCATTTTCCTCACCATCCTTATAACGCTTTGTGCATTGTGGACACAGGGTGTGTCCCCCTCCACCTTATTCTCCAGGTTCAGGGCTATTTGGCCTGCTATGGGGAAACACTGTGGAGGAGGTAATATTTCAGGCGAGTTTCTAGGCTCGCCATCATGGGAACGAAAGGTCAGTCATCCAGCGGATCATGGCCACCGGGGTATTTGCTGCCTAGTCTTGGAAGTTAATTCAGCCAGCAGACTGCACGGAGAGGACTTCATTACCTCCAGCCATTAAGCTAATGTTATGGACTTTCCCAGGGTGTCTGCTCTGACATCGCTATTAATAGTGTTATTACTCCCATTAACAGCAGACTTGGAAAGCTAGCACTGGCTTCAATTATTCACTGGCTCCCCAACTTTGAAGTTCCTATTTCCAAGAGCAATCAGGAGGTTTGAAAAATGTCTTTGATGAAATTAGGGAAAGTATAGAAAATGAAGCCAGTCCCAGTCCATTGGCACCGGGAATCCACAAACAAGGAACCAGACAGGAATAAAACATTTCCTCTCTCTCCCAGGGACCTCGCAGGCGTTGGAGGAGAGGGTTATGTTCAGACCAGCTCCACCGGCCTGTGTGGGACCTCCCCAAGTTAACGGGGCTGTACCTTTTTGTGACTCCCGGGAACTCCACAAGAATACCTGTCAAACTCTCTGCAGTGTTAGTTCTTGCTGGAGAAGTCACCCAGAGCTTACTCTTTGTCAAGGTTTTGATTTCATTTTTTTTTCTCTTTTTGGGTCACACCCGGTGATACACAAGGGTTACTCCTGACTCTACACTCAGTAATTACTCCTGGCGGTGCTCAGGGGACCATTGGGATGCTGAGAATCGAACCCGGGTCAGCCACATGCAAGGCAAACACCCTACCTGCTGTGTTATCGCTCCAGCCCCATGGTTTTGATTTTTATTTTCTTTTTGGGTCATACCCGGAGATGCACAGGGTTTACTTCTGGCTCATGCACTCAGGAATTATTCCTGGCAGTGCTCGGGGGACCATATGGGATGCTGGGAATTGAACCCGGGTCAGCCGCATACAAGGCAAATGCCCTACCTGCTGTGCTATTGCTCCAGCCCCGGTTTTGATTTCTTGAAGTCACACTGATATCAGACCATGGGCCCTGTGATGCGTCAGGATGCATGGCCTACCATAGCACCATCTGTATGTACTGCTGTGGTTTTGCCCCCCCAAAGTCCACCTTAAACCCTTCCCCCTGTGACCTGGACGCCTGTGAACTGTCTTTCCCAGTCCTCTCTTCTTATTCCTTTGCACAGCCAAAACTTTGTTCCTTGTTCCTAAAAGCGAGCATTCATTTTGTTCAGTCATTTGTTCTATCTACCATGTGTGATTACATCATATCGTGTTTTTCTTCACTGACTTATTTTATGGTATAGTTTGCTATTTTATTGTATTTGAGGGTGTCTCCAGGGGTATCGGGGGTCCAGAGTTCTCTCCCAGCAATACTCAGCCTGGTGTGCAAGCCTGGGAGTTTTTGATGTTTGGGTCCAGCAATGGCAATGCTGCCTGGCACCACTTACTACACCCGCCTCTGTTTGGGGAGTCAGGTGATCCTGGGGCTCAAACTCAATGCCCAAGTCTGTCAGATATGCAAACCCGACTGGGGCTCTATCTCCCGAGTGGAGGTCAGGGGTTCAAAATTCCATTCCAACAGTGTCATCATGGTCAAGTGACCGAACTGCTCACAGTGTCATTTTCTCATCTATGATGTGGGGCCGGTACGGTCTTTCCCTGTGAGGCTTGTTACGGGCTGATGTGAGATTGAACAAGCCTAGGCTTTCCCACAGGCCTGCAATCAATGCCAGTGAGGATACCATAACACAGCCATTCCCTGCCACCTCCTCCAGCCCCTACAAATCACAGCCCTCCAGAACACCGCCACATCTCCTCCTGGTCCCACCCAGGGCCAAATCAAAGCCTACATGGCAGAGAGGGAGGCTGGACTGCATCTCTTAACGAGCAAGGAGGAGTCTCAGAGGCCAGGGGGAGATAAGAAGCATGTGCGTGGGGGACCTGAGAAGGGGGCAACTCTGCCTTTTTAGGAGCTATCGCTGGCTTTTGAGAGCTTGGCTTGTGGGAAGCTGGATTTTAAGGTCAGTGACAGGGAAGTTTTGACATTTCTGCTTTCCCTCGGAGCCAATGAGGATGAAGGCTGCAAATGTCTAGGAAAGCACAGACAAATGGGCTAGGGCAAGGGAAGGGAGGCAGACGGGACCCCCTGGACTTCTCCAGAGGCCCTCTGAGGGTGGGGCCTTCTGCTGCCATAGTATTCCACTGCCTCCCCCTCACCTTGCCTCCAGAAACAAGCTCAGGTTCCCCATGGCTGATGTGGAAGAGGTGGGCCTGGGTGGGGATTGGGAAAGTCTAGAAGTTTCCTTCCCTGGGATGGCTGATGTGGAAGAGGTGGGCCTGGGTGGGGATTGGGAAAGTCTAGAAGTTTCCTTCCCTGGGACTCCAGAATTTACTTCTCAGGGTAGGAGCGCCCTGAAGATGGAGGAAGACCCTGCTTTATGCATTTCTTCCCCCGTCTCTATTTTGGTGGAAGTATTCCCAAGCCATGCTCAGAGGACCCAAGGATCACTCCAGGGGACACTTGGCCAAGCATACTGGTCAGTTTAGCGCTACAGCCTGAAGATGCAGAGGTTCTGCGGGCACCTGGGTCACGCTAGCAGCGTCAGAGACTGAACTCAAGGTCCCTCCTGCAAAGCCCCGGCTCCAGCCCTGTGGGTGATCTCCCAATTCATCAC